TCCTCACCACATTTTTTTTTTTCATGTCCATGGGCGCAGAACCCACAAGGTAATTTTCTAGGTTTGAATACAGTGGGCTACAGGGTTGATGCTGATTTATTTTCAGTCATTTCCTAATTTTTGGACAGTGAAACCGATCCCAACCGTCTTTGGTGCATTTCTTCCCAGTGATCTCAGTATAAAAGCTGTCAGGCGTATAATGTTTAATATCGGAGATTCAATAGTAAGAGATCCAGGGGTGGCACAGTCGGGCGGCACTCGCCTTCCTATTTTATTGAAGGAAATACATTTTCATTTTTATAACAACAAATTTCGTTGGCTTTCAACTGCAGAGTAATTTGATATTTTCACAGAAAAAAAATTCTACAAAAGTATGTCCCATATCTTCTTGGGTTACCCCCAAAAGCTGCCACAAATGCATTGCATCTGCCGCTCCTTTTCTTAAATATGAATGTTTGATCCATCACTTACTCTAGTCAGACAGGTCTGCCCGAAAAATACAAGCAGGAAAATATTGAAATGAAAACGAAAGAAAGGAACAATCCCAAGTAGCTGGAATTTCAACAACAGAAAACGACATCGAGATTGCAATGGATGTCAAATCAGTATTAGCTTTGGGTTTTACCCCTTGTCGCCTGAAAAGACGCCTAGGCCATCCTGCCCCCCCCCACACGTTAACCCAAATTCGGATCAGGCTGGCTGAAACTTAATGTTTTTATCTTAAATATCCGTGCCTCGTTGGCCATAAGTTCAATATCGGAATGTGGAGTTACAAAAATGGCATAGTAGCTCCAAAATGTGTCTGTTATTTCAAACAGGTTTGCATGGGTAGTTCAGTAACGCCCTCTGGGGAATGAGGGCATAAAACCAGACCCCTCCCCCAAAAAAGTGACTTCGGCAAACACAAATGACATACAAGAAGATGTCAAAGTGATCGTAATCTCACAAAATATGCAGTTTTACTATTTAGTTCCTGAATGTCGCACACACAAGACTGGACACCTACATGTACGTAATATGTAAGACACAACTTGAGGGCGCTTTTTCAAATCAATGTGGGAGAAGCTGTCGGACGCATTTCACCAAATGGTTGGAATTCTGCGCGCAAGCTCATTAGTAATTTGTGATCCCTCGGTTTTTTTTTTTTTACAATAAGAACTTTGGACTGGTAGTTTCCAGGTCCGGATACTTCTTGTACAAAAAGCCCCAAAATTGCGGGCCCGTTTTGGATAGAGGCGGGCGGCTACCTTAAGAGTTGAGCGCATAGTCTTACTACTATTTAAGGAGTATCTTTGGGGACAGGCGAATAAAAAACAATTTTCGCGGCTAACCCCCATCACATTGAAACGAAAAGTGATCTTCTGGCCACAATTTTGAATTTCTGGTGAAAAAAGGGAAATAAAATTCATTCATATATTAATCAGCTTAAAAAGCTGGGCTCAAACCCTGACTTGACTTGATTTCCGGTAATTCACTGCTGCGTACACCTCAACCATTATTCTTTCCAAATTTTTCCATTCCAGGTGCGGAATTCAGTTTTTCTTAAAAAAATTGACGATTGGATGGAGTACAAAAACCTCAACCGGTTTTGAAAAACTCCATTTTGAAAGTAGACGCAACGAAATTCGCAATGCTCGTCATTTATACCCTCCTGAAAATACGCATACGCGGGACGCGTTTTGGACGCAATGTCCTATCCAGTCTATATACTGGTGATCAATGCATGTAACCCTATGTGCAGTGTACGTGTACAGTGGGCATGGTTAAAACTGAAGTGACGTCACACTTACGTACCGGATTAGGATAAGGCGGACGTTTTAGAGACAATCCTGGACAAATCTCCTTGGAACATGCCTCCCCCTCGCCCCGTGTCAATGTTGCTTCTCACTGGGTAAGTTGGGCCGAATCTTGGTCCAATAAATAAACGCAAGATTGAATGGTGGAGAGGGGGATCTTTGCAACGCGCTTCCCACAAGGTGTTCCAACTGTTTTGTCCAGGATTGTAGTTGCGATACACTCGTACCGTACCCTCTCCGTGTGACCTGTATTTCCAATGGTCCTGCCAAGACATAGTTCAGTTGCATCGTTATATACACTAACATACAACTTCGCCCCTCTATAACATTGCTTTCATGTGTTGTATTATGGGCACACCTTTTTCAAACCCACATTGAACTTTGATGAAGAGAAGTGAGAGCAATAAACCAACAATACAGTTTAACTGTCACTGTATTCTGTTCACTTTTTAATTAATTGTTGACACCCAATATGACATTCAGTAGACACTATAGTAAAAGTCCATGCTACCATTAACCTGATGTTTAGGGAATGCAACAGTATCTATTCACTTTGTGCACTGTTCATGCGAGGCAAATATTAAGAACTGTAAGAACTGTTTGCTGGTTTCGTTTCAATGGACGATGAAAGAAATTTATAGTTACGACTTTTAAAGATATACCGTGTTATGGGGCCAAGTTTGTTGTGAAAAATTATAATCTTATCCTGATATTTCCCTCTTACAGTTAATGATATACAGCACAGACGGTTTGTGTGTGTTTCCACTGATAACACTGATAGCCACAGCCTTAAGCAGGGGTTACGGCACCAGGATTTTTCTGAGGATGGAAATGACTTTTGAAGTCCTTTCCATGAACCAAACTGGGCAAAATCTGATAAAGGATCTTGAACCAACCGAGGTTTTCCTTGTTTGCCCATCTTATCTTATCCAATATAATGACATAAGGCTCTGTTTACATGTGGAGTGCAGCACTCATCCATCGAGTCCCCGTCGAAAAGTTGGTCAATCACACTACATATATTTATTAATACACAATCATTATTAACCCAGCGGCGGAGTTACACCATAAAGCAAATTGCAGGACCACATCAGATTAATACTCAGTATCTACTGCTTTTAATCCTCTAACAAATAAATAATTCTAAGGGAAGGGAATTACAGACAAGTGTGGAAACCTTAATTAATTAAACACAGAAAACCTTTTCAATTTATTTTGAAGGGCTTTGTTGCGGTAAACACCACGTGTAACGATGCTGGGACCTCATGTGCAAAATGCATAGAATTTCCAGTTTTGGGGAAAAGTTATCTTGGTGAGTATCTAAGTTTCATGCCCCTTTCCCGGAGGAAATTGGAGAAATTTATCAAGCACAAAGCCTTAATTGTTCCCTCCAAAAGCCAAACTAGTGACGCACAGAATGCAAACAAACCAGAACCAAAGGTGTTGGTCACATTGCAAAATTATTCTCATTGTTCGTTGGTTTTTTTTTTTTTTTGCTTGTTTACAAAGCGTTCCTCAGGAACAAACCAATTGGAGTTTGTAGAAGTGTCATTCATATACGTAAAGAATTTATACCAATGTCAACCCAAACAAAACAAACAAGTGCACATTATCTGCCACAGTTATTATTTTTTTCTGATAAAACTCGGTTTCCTTTGCAAGTAACTATTTGGCCCTATGGTGAATAACAAGCAAAAAATTGGACAATGATCTGAGTTGACTGCACTGTTTCAATGGAGTTTATTATGAACTATTTCTGGTAATGAAATGAAACAAGGATTCCTCAAAGACACCGTATGCATTGTAGCAGAAGACTAGAAGCAAATTCAAGAGATGAAATAGAAGCAGTTAAAGGTTGAAATATATATATCAGATATATCCTGGGTAGAAATCTGAGATTCCACAGTACAAGGGGATTTGTCTCTGGGCAGCAAGGTTGAATGTGAGAAAAGAACCGTTTCGCTCACCCATTTCTCCAACGTTTGTGTGTGCGTTTGTCATGCTTAACACTTTCACTATGCATTATGCCTTGGTAACCACACTCAGAACACAGTCGTGACAAGATCTTTATCAAAGCATTTTTGTGCAAGTTTCTGTATAAAGCGCTCTCGTTTGACTAATTTGTGAAACCTTGTTTTCTAGTAAAGGGCCTACGTACTGATGATGTCACTTCCTGTTTACACGTCGTGCTTTCCTGTTGTGCTCAGTGGAACGTGGCTCCATAGGAAAGTGTACATGTGAGCAAAGTGTGACATCATTATGTACATAGGACCACTACAAAGAGAGATGCATTTTTCTTGCAGTAGTTGACAATGTGTACTTCATCTACTTAGACATTGCATTATTGTTTTTCCAGCACAGGTCGATCATTTAGGATTGATTTGATTACTATTTGTCTGGTACCCAGCTCACCCATCATTCTCTCCCCCTCCCCCCCGTTTCAGTGTTTCAGCATTCGGTCTTGGTCAACGTTGAACCGGGGGACGGGGTCCACATTAGTTTGTTCAATGATAAATCATTTGCTATGACATTTCTCAAAGCAGAGTGTAACCCAAATTGCCTGTCTACAGTTTTTGCAGATCATACGAGTCTGGCGTCGCTTTGCCTTGGTGCTGCACACAACACAGTCTTGTTTCTTGACACTCCGCCCGGGATAATGTTGATGATCTAGAGCGCTGGAACAACATGATGGATGTCTGGGATGCTGTGGTTATTTGTACTTCCAGGTGTAGAGAAGTCCCTCTATTATTTTGACCCAGAAATCCATACGGGACAAGCGAGTGTTTGTGGCAATGCTGTTGTACACGATGGTAGCATTCAGCAGACAGATGTCCAGGATGGTGAAAAATACTCTTTTCTACCATTTTAGCGATCTGTGGTGGTGGGTGAAATACATGTAGCTGCACATTTGTCCGGCCAGGTCACTTCTCCCCATGAACTGATTATAGTCGCTGACTATCCAAGGTCGGGGAACGTCACGATATCCAGCCGAACTGTTTTTGCAGCGAATCTGTTTACTGGTGCAGGCTTCAAAAAAAGATACACGCTTAGCGTCCTGCCATGACACATAATTCGCATGTTTTCTCGTAAAATTTGGGCGGATATCCTCTTTTCATGCGATATTTTTGGGGGTTTGCCGCATTTGGGATGCCTTTAGTGTTGTACCGAACTGTTCCACAAGCTCCAAATCCTACTAACTTGGAGACTAGAGCCGGGCTGTTGAACCAATTGTCCATGTAGATGCAATATCCCTTAGGTTCCAATCCTTTGACAAGGTCCACCACTATCTTCCCCTGTGCAGGGAGGTTAGACGGGTGGTGTTTTTCAGTAGAGGCAGCACAGGGTTGACTTTGCAGTCATTTGACTGGTGCCCCTGTGAACAAGTTCCAGGTACAAGTGCAGCCGGTTGCTGACTCATTTAGAGATAAGCATTTCAGTCCCCATTGTGCAGCTTTTCGCGGCATGTATTGCTTGAAACCGAGTCGTCCCTTGAATTTCACCAACGTCTCGTCCGGCGAGAGGTTTCTTCCGGGCCGATAGATCAGAAGGAAGGATGACAATACTTTGGACAGTTCGTCGTGGGTTGAGTTGTCTGATCGATGAGGTCTGTTATTGGCAAGGTAAAAAAAAACAAACAAACAAAAAAAAACCCCAAAACGAAGGATTGCTGTGAATCGGTAACGAGCCGTGGTGGAAGAAAAGAGGGCATTTCGCAGAACTTCAGATCTGGACCAGTGCATGGCATATCTAGGCATTTGGTTGATGTCCATGCGAAGAATTAGGGCGATGAAGACCATCATTCCGGGCACGTTTGTAGGAGTCCACGTAGCCTGACTGTGGTTGCCGTCATCTGCAGTTAAAGTTTGGTTGGCATATCGATTGGTTTCTGTGACTAACAGTTCCCAAACTCTTCGACAGAAATATAATTGGATGACTTCTACGGGGGACAACGTACTGCAGTCTTCAGTGCTGCCGTTACATCTGTTCGACGTGGGCACAAAAATCCTGCAATTTTGTAGGTTTCGTTTGACTAAATCTTCTCTTCTTTGCTGATAGATTGTTGTGTGAGTAATTAGCGAGCATCAATCTCTTTCTAAGAATGTTTTAAGTGGGTCACTTCTTGGTTCGCAATTGAACAGAAAAACTTACATGCACTGAACTGTTTTTTCCCTGGGTGACATCACAGGAATAGCGCTCTCGTGTGTCTCTTAAGAAAGTAGAAATAAGTTTGAGTGTTTGAAAAGTGTGCATTCTAATGCATTAACCAAAGGAAAGCGTTGACATACACCGAAGAAGAGTACGAAGCTGAGACAAAGTGTATCTAAAGAAAATGTCACTGCAGCTACGCAGGTTTCTTAGAACGACGTTCAAAGTTTCTTTATAATGTACAGAGAGGCACATAATTTACGTAATAGCTTCAAAATATTGTGAGGGGTGGTAGGCACAAATGAGGAAAAAAAGAGCGTGGTCTAGCTTTCTTGAGTGGCGTAGTGGATAAGGATGACGATGTCCGTGTTTGGAATCCTGGATGGTGCCTCCTTCCCAACCACCGTCTATTATTTATTTCTGATCCTCCAGCAGCGCATTTTAGCGCCAATTACAGGATGAGTGAAGAAGACAATGAAGAAATATTCAGTTTTACAGGTGGGATGAATGTTTTGGGATGAAAGTTTCGGGGAAAACCCACTGACTCAGGTAGGGACTGAAACCCCAATCCACATGTGGACTGAGCCGTATTCTAACCCGGACCCCAGAGGTTGAGGGCGAGGAATGAAACACTACGCCAATCCCACTCCCCTTCTTCTGCAGTCTATTTCTTGTTGCCGAAAAATCAGTTTTGAAGGTTATTTAATTTATTGCCCACATTTAAGGTCTTTTCATTTTTCATTCCAGGAAAAAAACGCTCCTTTAAAAGCATCTTATCGGCCTGATTTATCATATATTTACGTGACACCTATATGACATTTTGCTTGCCCCGTTCATATTAAAGCAGCGTTGGGTAGTACCGTACGATCGGCATGGTGCAAACGCCCAAGCCACTGTTTGTAGATAAAACGTTGTAGCTTTCACAACAAGGAAATAATTGGGGAGGCTTTCGGTCAGGACTTGAAGCTGTACATTGACTCGGTTGTTTTTTTCTTCTTCTTCTTTTCGTAGTTGTGATGGAGTATACCAGGCATCCCTTCAACTTTCATTGCAAGAATGAAGAGGCAGACGCAGACGGGAATGTGTATTTCAACCAGAGTAAGTCACAGTGGGCTTGTTGTCATATCAACAACATACTTTGTTACATAACCATAACCTGCATCGTTCAATTCTTGGCAGCTATCAGCAAACTCTCTTCAACAAAAAGATTTGGCAGATATCTCTGTCTTGCCAACAATCGCCTGCATCCTCCATCCTGGATACCAAATTTCAACGTTACTGCATTTTCAAAGACATGGGACTAGACCAGCTTATAAGCTAACAACAGACATACCTTAGTATCTATAGCCTGCTATCACTGTTCAGTATCGATCTCGTTGGAATCTGTCGCCCTGAGTAAACGATCGACCAAATGTTAAGACAGTGAGGCAATAGAGGGCGCTGTTGCAAAAAAAAAAAAGATTGACGAGCTTGCTTGAAATCGGCGAGCACGCTGACCACACAGTGCCGATGCACAAGTCGTAGAAGGGCCGTGTCTGATACTGGCTTCCAGATCTACGGCTAGGTCTACCGTCTCACGTCTTCGCTTAATACTTGCAATGGAGCGAAGACCACCATCTAGCTCTAGACAGTTAAGTAGATTTATATGCAGCCAAAATTGAGTTCTGAACGATGCCGACGCATGGTAATCATCACACTTGGCGGTAGATATAATTCCTGAAAACGGACCTGCTCCCTTGCCCTAAGTATTCAAGTATTTAAAAATCCATCTTATGTTTAATAATTGCTCAATGTCTCAAACGGGGAACTCCAAAACAGATTTAATAATCCTACGCCTTTCTGTTCATCTGCAGATGATCTCAGTGAGCCATTTCGTGTTTGCGCTGGAGTCCGTACCCCGCATTACATGTTTCTTGGGACAGAGTTGCGAACAAATTACTGTTTCGACAATGACTTCAGCAAAATTGACGTGCCGTCTGACTGCGTCGAGCCAATTCTTATTATGACAATTGCCAGCTTCATTGGTGGGCATGACAAGGCTTTGGGTGAGCAAGTGCTGTACTGCCAGCCAACCTAGTACAACTCGTTGCTTGTATCTCGAAGTCAAGTGGTCGATTTTGAAGATTTGTTTAAGTCTCAATTTATTTTCCTACACACAGTTTTCCTGCAAACGTTGTTCACTTCTTCAGTGTATGAGAACTCTTTTACACCTCTATTTGGTCGAACGCAATGAACCAGAACTTTGTTAAACACTTCAAATTATCCAAGCTTTCCTAGACAACTGCCGGCACTGATGCTGAAATGCCATCCAGAGAAGGCATAGTTTATTGCTAGAGTTTTTCTGCTGAAATTGTGAACCTAGTATTCACTTGCTGAAACATTGCTGAGAAAGGGGCTAGTTCTGACATATAGCTACGCACATAAAAAAAACTCTGAATAAGCAAAGAAGAGAAAATTCTGTCATACGAGACTCGATCAAGGCGTTGAGCGATGATTTTGACAACCCCGGCCGTAAGGCCTTCTGTACGTGTGTGGCTGAAACACTGTACGGTTTGGTTGCACAATTCCCCTTCGCTGCAGCAGGTTTCCTTTTAGCACGTGCATATGAATATGGAAATTGTCATTAGCACAAAGCAAAACGACAGTAAAATGGCCTTTGAAACAAATTTTCAAACAAGGTGAACTGAGACACTGCATTTTGAAGAGTTTTTTATTAAAACAAATTGAATACAGCTACCCTGTAAGGACTCATTTGATTAGGAGGTGTTACTTTTTGCTATGATTTGGGTTGCACCTGAACACCTTTACAGATTAATTTGTGATGCAGTTTATTGTTGTCACTTTCTCTAAATTGGTTGTATTTGGTACTTCTCATTGGTTGCAAAGGGTTGCAATGTAGTACTCCTTTGAAAGTTACATGCTAAAGAAAAGTTATTGTGCATAATACCAAGAATATGGTTTAAAATACGTTTTGTAAATTGAAAGTCGGCACCAAAACCAGAGTATGTAAAAACCAGAAGGTGTTCAATTACCGTGCTTATCAACTCCATGCAGTCATTGTTTGTCCTTTTATCCCATTTGTAAAAAAAAGGAAAATATAAACTTTCTGTTAAAATATACTGAATGAAATAATAAGCACACAACCATCAAATAAACACCAGTCATTCTGATGTCAACATTTCGTATGCAGTATTTAATGTTCACCCTAAACATGTTTGCAAAATCACAGCATCATTATAACACCAACAAGATAGGAAATACGCAGCTGCTACGTCGGGAATGTTTATACCCCTCGTACGGCTCTCTGGTTTTCGTATGGCGGCATGTAATTTATGCTTCAGCTTCTAAAATGGTATTATACTGGTAACTGTTGGTGGTGCACTTATTATAATAACCCTTTAGCTCAGACACACGTGGCTGCAGCCGCCCTCGTATATTTACTCTAATAATGCACTGACATTAGTTAATAAGCTAGTTCGTAATTACCGCATGTACGTTGCACTGGAAAGTAGGGCAAAGTTCATTTGTACATGAAACCAATCGCTTCACCGTGCGTCCAGAGTAGGTGCCCTTTTGTGACATTCGTTTGTTAAGTGCGCAATTGAGCTAGTGCTTCGATTTTGTTCAATTCTGTTCAAGTGTTGGTTATTTTTTGTTACCATGGGTGAATGGTGAACAAGATCTCTCAGTGGATGAAATTTGTCTGTGGACTGTGGTCCGATTGAAAGCGTTTTGAGAAATAACAACATATCCCATGCTGTACTTGGATTAATCAACACTTAATCAACCTTAATTTGTATGAAATTACCTGATAGTTTAAACTCGTACGTATTTTCAGTTTCACTGTATCTTAAAGACACTGCTTTCGGTAAAGATTTCCTGGAATGAGTTCACATACGAATGTCACTTGACACCCAGTACACAAACCCTATGAGGCTGGTCAGCAAAATTTTGTTGTCTAAGAAAGTGCTTCAATTTTTTTCACTGCTAAATCGTAATAGAAAAGTTAAATTGTTTTGGGACAAAGTGTTATTTGTTAAATGACTGTACGAGATTGAAGGTTACCATAAGTGTTCATTCTGTTCTTGATTCTTCCCTAAGTCCATCATCTTCCGTATTTCAACAATTACAGAATGTACAGCAATCCATTCGCGACACACTCAAAATCAATTTACTTTATGTACAAATGACCTTTGAAAAAGTTCATTCACGCATGTGCATTTCGTAATAATTACGAACTGGCTTATTGTTACCGCTTTTTCCTTATACTAGATTCTAATTTCAACAAATTAATGTTTTAACGCTGTTGTATTCACAGTGATACATTTTCTTCTAGCTCCTATACAACAGATCTTGGGATGTATATTGATTTTTGCTCGGTTTGCCTAAAATTGCCCATAGCTAAGTAACGTGCTGTAAGCTCCCAAGGTTGCAGGTATCAAAAAGCTATACGGGTGCAATATGCTAGCACTAAAACATGACATGCACAAACTCTGTTTGAATGTCTTGAGTTTTCCATTTAGAGTGTAAATGTTGGTTTTGGGGTTATTAGGATTTACAAGCTTCTTGGATTGATGCGGAGAATTGTTGGCAATTCCAAATAAAGTATAAAGTTACTGCAACGATATTGTGAGAAGTTTCCTGCTTGTAGTGTCGCCCCTTGTTTCAAACTATCCACTCTGGCTGATAACACTAGAAGGCGTGCTTTTAATTAATATGGCAAAGGCCTGAACTGTGCATGTATATTGATTATAAACGCAAGCTTCAGGAAACAAAATGGTTGTTCACTCTGTGAATCGTAGAGCGTGTGACAATAGTATACCAACTGTCCGATAGCACTGCTGCACACCTGCAAGTTTGTCTCCTTTAATGGTAAAACTTAATGTCACAACTCTCTCTTGACGGTCAGGTATATACCAATAAAAATGAGCACTCCAATGTTGCATTTTTTTTACCGTTGAGGGGGTCCTACTGTTCAAGTAGGATACACAACTCTGGGAAAAACTCGGGAACCCTGCGCGTTCGCGCTCAAATTTTTGAATTGGTGCAGCCTGCAATGAGCACGCGTGACCATTTTATATTTGTGTTCGATTCACTTAAATGGGCCAAAGCTGACCGACTATGCCAATTTTGTTGTGTTTGGAGTACTGACATTGAAGCACCTATAAAATCTGCACTAATGTAGACCCGACCTACCTTCTGGAGGTTTACTGACAAAGCTACATTGGTTTCCTGCTGAAGAAAGAAGCTGTCCCAAAATGCCTATAGCCTCATGCAAACTTCTTCAGGCACAAGCTCCTTCAGATCTGGCTCATTTAGTGTACTTAGAAATCACTAATGTTCCTAATATAGAGGGAAATTGACTCCGCTCCGTAACACCGTGTGTTAAATGTTTGTCCCAGAGCTTGCGAAAATTAAATGTTTGTTCCAGAGCTTGCGAAAAAGGGCAAAAGCCTCCATTAAAATATTACCAACTCCTCGACGCAAAGCATCTTGACATAGTTTGACGTGGCAGCTGCTATACCTGACTCAGATTGAAAAAACTAAACCTAGCAAGCTTGGAGTCGAGTGGTTAAGACGTCACACCTGTGTTAAGAAGGAGGTCGTGGGTTTTAGTCACACACTCTGTAAGGCAAAACACATCTTACACCACATCTTTTGTTCCTGTTGTGTGCTTTTCAGGCAATCATTAGACCCGAATACTTATTGACGACATTTCAATTATGCATTGACTAAAGTGCTCGCTGTTTGAATAATGAGGGTAATAAATTCTTGGTCAGTCCAGGACAAATATTTATATTATGTCAGAGGAGTATTTTAAAGAATTACGAATCTTTCAACCAGATCATTATCGGGTTTCCAGGCATATAGTGCCGCTGTTAGTCAGCCACTTTGTTACTATTTTGTTTTTGAGTACCAGCTCATGTGCGTCGCCTTGTGTCTTAATGCTGTAGGATAATATCGTAATCTGTCTCCGCTAATATTAGCTTGGCTTTTGCCCTTATAAATTTAACGCCTTTGAATTCTATGCCTACTCTTTTCCACCTGTTGTATAACAACGTCCATTGAATGGGTTCCATTCTTGAGATTGTAAGAAAGAAACTAAACAATACAGGCCTACACGTATCTGCTGTTGTTTTGCCTTAAGTTTGGTTTCCATATCGACGTAAGAAACGCAGAGAACAACACAGTCAAGACGCAAACTGCAACGCGGACATATGGAAACATATCAACGGAAGTGTCGCCAATTACGCAGACAAACGCAAACCAGCCCGCAAACGATCGGCAAAGTTGAAGCAGGTTCAACGTTCAGGACTTTCTGCGTCGAGTAGCCATGGTATCCCCAAATAAACACGCATACTCTTGTAACCGGCGTGCAACGATGTCTTTTTCGCTTAGATCGACGAATTTTGCCAATTTTCTCCTCTATCTCAAATATTACACCTCAGTGATCAACTAAATAGCTGACCGTCAATGACATGCATGATACTGGAGTAAAGGTTAGGCACCATGAGGCAGTACAGTCAGTCTTAAATCACATTTTCCACTAAAACCCACCGAATTTCAGACGCCATTTCACGCATGCAGCGTCTTTTCCGTTCGTGTCTGCGTCTTCCGTCTTAAGTTCCGTCTGTGTTACAAACGACTATATGGAAACCAGGCTTTATTTGTTACTCAAGTACCGACGTGGGCCTTTTCTTCACGATATTGTGCATATTCCCCTAATATTTCACACAGCTTTATATCATTATTTCTCTATCTATTTCCATCCATTACCTTATTCATCGTCTCAACATGAACGGCTGGGCGTGGCAAGCAATAAGCATAGCTGAGCAGGTGGTCAGTGCTGTAACATTAGTAGGTAATCTCCTAGCCCTCGTCATACTCGTCCAGACCAAACAGCTCGGCATCAAGTATTACGCCTTTGTCTTCAATCTTGTCATTGCAAATCTCTGTGATCCCATCTTAACCTTCGTTTATCAGTACCATGATGATGATATCCTTCTGGCATTGATTCGTACGACGCTTTTCGTGGCCGAGTTGAACCTTCTGGCCACTGCTATCAATGTCTGTTGGCCCTGTTACAACACCATGGTGACAGGCAGGCGCCTCTTCCTGGCTTGCTTGTTGCTTTGGCCTATCTCCGCTGCTATTTATCTCCCTCAAGCTACGTCTACTCACAGGTAGTCATCCGTCTCATCCGGCCTCTTATTACCCTCACTATCCTGCTCGTTACAGCAGTTCTCTACTATATGTATAAGAAATGACGTTTTGTGTTTTCTGAACAAATTAACGTGGTGATTTTGAGACTTACTTTTTGCTAATTTCTTGATAAAAATTGTTTAACTGCCAACTGCAATCACCCCCAATCTAATCCTACCGCTGTGCATGCCAAACAGCCTGGTTTAGTCATCTTAAACGTCGGGATTTCCCCTCAACTGGGATAAAAATCTGAGCCGGTCCCTGGCCAAGGCCCACTCAACTGCATGTGCACATGTTGCACATGCGAGTCACCGGGATTGTTTACGTCAGGCCTGTGGGAATGACCCACCAACGACCCTGCGAATTAGGGTTAGGTCCTTCTGTGATTCGTGGCTTACAGCAGACACGTGTCTGGGTATTCCAGACACGGCCTTGTTTTGGATTTTCAGTCATGCGCCAAATGTTATTTCAGATCTGCAGTTCGGACATCCCCCCCCCAATAAAAACCTGGAACGTTTTCCCTGCTGTATCTATTATTTAACGTGTGCAGAGGACATCGACTTATGAATTTAAAACCATATAGAACAAAATCCATACTAACGACAGGATTATGAAACCGGCGTCCAAAATCCACACGTCCAGACCTAACAGGACAAAGAGGCAACAAAAACCTTGTTTCTCATACTGAACACGGTCCAATCAACTTCATATTAAAGGGTAGCGAGGGTAGAAATATTCAGAAACCCCACGTATAAAGCAGAGCAGCAAGCATCTAAAACCCTGCGAGAAGCCTGTGGAGAAATTACACGTTTCATCGAGGTGGATATCTTTGATCAGCAGTCAGTTTTACATGTAAAATTACCGTCTTGGGGGGTCTAAAGCGATTTAATCCTAATAAATGGTTAATTTGAGTTAAAAAGAAAGCATTTATTACAATTTGGCTATTTTTTTAACGGTGACTATATAAAATAACAGCAAAGATAATAAATGACTGCAACAACATTGTATTGTTATCACACTCTCAAAAATAAACCAGAAACTAAAAAAAACAACCACGTTGGGAAAATAAAAAAGTGAAATAAAAATTATAAAGCTCACGAACGAACAAAGAGAACACTATTAATTTGAAATTATTAAACGGCGACGAGGAACACAGTTAATTTGTTGATTTAGAGAACTGAAAGAAACGCTAACTACAAATTGTAATGATCAAAAGAGTAAAATAAAACGCCATTATTTCTGTCATGATTGAAAAAATGGGAGAAAAAGTGAAATAAAAATTAGAACGAACAGGAAAAGAATTAAAGAATACGGTGATTTTTCATTTGGCGGAATGAAAGAAACTTCAGAACCTGGTTTCGCCAGCGAACATGTTTTCGTCCTTGGGAATTCAGGTCTTACTTGTAGAACCAGCGATGATAAAAGAATAACTAGTGAAACTACTGCCTTTTTGCAGCACTCCTCACACACTGAAAATAATTTTTAAAAAGTTGGGGGCATTGCATCGGGGCTAGAAGCTTGACCTTTAAGAGTCGCTCAGTAATAGACTACACAGAGATCAACCGCAACGACTGTTTTATGTCGGCCATTACAACCAGCACCTCGCTCTCCCAACATCTCATAATACTGGTGTAAAAATACAATAATACTGTACTCCAAACAGTAGTTCACTATCTCTTTTGCTTTCGGGCACGACTTCACCCGAGGTAATAACTGATCGGTCAATGCTCTGGCTACACAAGCCGAGTTTACTCATTTTGTTCAATGGTGGATAGAAAATAGCAGCACAAACGAGTGTAACAATATTGTAATGTTATCTCACACTCAAAATAAATCAGGAAACTAAATGAAAAAACAGAAAGATGAATACAAAATGTGAACTAAAAATAATGACCACGACAGTACAACAAATTACACCATCAATATGAAATTATAAAACGGAAATGAAGAACGCAATCATTGATGATTTGGAAAACTGAAAGAAACACTCACTACAAATTGTAATGGTCAAAAGTGTGAAACAAAACGCCATCATTCCTGTCATAGTTAGAAAAACGGGAGAAAATGTGAAAAACAATTATAACGATCACGAAAACGAGAAAACAGAACACAATGGTTTTCATTTGGAAAACTGAAATAACTACAAAACTGATCACCAAACGAAACATGACTTTAAAGACCTTAGTGTGTCATATCAGGACATATCTACAATGCGATTCCACAGTCCTGGCATTCAAAATCTCTCTTTGTTTTCACCCGAGAGTGTTGCATGCAAACGAAACGACTGCAGCTATTACACACTCGAGTTGACCTCCTTTTCTCTCCAGGGCGGCAAAGCCGACATCTTCCCGAGTCTGCACGGGCGTGATGGGTTGCTGGATCTTGATGTTTGGCCTGACGCACCACCTTCTTGCCAACATAGGCAAAGGCATCGATTGTGTGTTGGCGGAGGCGTTCGGGGTACCGTCGTCTGATTTCTATTTGTGGTAGCGTCAGACCCACAATGAGCTCTTCCAAGAAATCATGCCGGGTGGTTGTGGCTCGCGGATGTACCTGCCGAAACAACACGTAGGCGTTGATGGCAGCACAGTTCATCAGGTGGAAGAAAACCACCATGGGCCATCGGTTGGAAATACGGGCACAGTTGTAAATACTGCACATTTGGTCAACAGTGTCCACACCGGCCTTCGTTGAATTATAATAGTCGATGATCTCGGGCTTTTGGCTCATTGGATTGGTGGTAGCATCATGGTGCATTGACGACAGAAGCAATACATTTCTATGTTGCTTCGGCACAAAAGAAACAAGAGTGTTCAAACCTGAAAATCGAAAGTGCGATGACTTGACTTGCCTGTTTCGGACTTGTTCCTTGCGCATGTCATCGGGCACCTCCTTACGATTCTCCTTGATGGTGCCGACAAGGGTCATTTTCTTTGTCCATAAGTAGTCGGCTAAAGCCTTGCTCACAAAGAAACTATCGGCCGTAACATTCCGTCCAGTCCCAAAGACTGGTTCCACCAAATCTTTGACGACTCGAGCACCAAGCTCGGTTTCGCTTCGGCCTTGTTCGTTGCCGATATAGGGCTGCATATTGTGGATGTAGTGGGTGTTGCTGTCTACTGATGCCCAAAATTTCAGTCCATATTTGGCCAGTTTCTTGGGCATATACTGCTTGAAACTGCAGCGTCCGCGGAAGGCAACTAACTGTTCATCCACTGTCAGGTTCTCACTTGGACTGAAATGATGAACGAGGGCAGACCGGAATATTTCGAAAACATCCCTCATGGGCGCAAAATTGTCTGTGGCCTTACGTTCAGCTCTAGTGTTCCTATCGTCGAAACAAAGCATTCCAAGTATGTCCTGAAATCGTTTCCCTGCCATTGTGCACTCACAGAGTGGTCTGGAGAAGAAACCCGGTCGCCAAAATGTCTTGACCCTCTCGTGGCCCGATTTGGTCAAACCAAGAAAGAAGAGGAGACCGATGAAAGACCGCAGCTCCATCATGCTGCAGTTGACCCAAGCAAATCCTCTCTTGATCAGTCCCTCTTCATTAGTATAGCGCAGGATGATCTCTAGCATGGTAATTGGGAAGAACAGGTTGAAAAGCTCGAGCGGTGATGATGCCCCTCCCAGATTCTTAGAGCCCATTGCCTCCGTCAAGATATTTCTCGTTGCCGCCTTCGCTGATGGGACCGACAGATCACTCCACACCGTCCCGTCCCTGGCTGTAACCCCGCCAGCAGCGGGTGGCTGGTACGGAGCCTCTAGCGGGGATGGGGGTTGCAGTGCGCAGCCCTGTCTCGCTGGACGACCACATTTTGCCGGTGCGCTTGCCTCGGCAGAATCCGGTGCTGGAGTGGCCCGCACTCGTGACCCCTTTGGTTGGATGAACGCAGCCGTTTCCTCTGGGGATGAAGGTGAATCATATTCATTCTCCGAAGCAGACATTTCGGAATCGTCATCCGGTTGATCACAGTCATACGATGCAATGGAGACATCTTCATCCGAAGATTCGCTGGCACTTCCTTCACTGGGTTCGCCTGCGAACAAGCCCTGCAATATTTCTTTCTTGATAGGAAATCCGGTCTTACTTGTTGAAGCCATGGATATGGAATGAACTCAGGCTACTGATTTTATGCAGCACTGATCTGTGCTCACACGCTGAAAATACGCCAGACAGCTCCTATTGGAACCGCTCGGTGATAGACAATAGTGGGTGAACTACAACGACTGATTTATGTCGGCCTATACAACTAGCACCCGCTCTATACATGTAATACTGGTGGGAAATACAATAACATCAGTCACAATCCAAACAGTCGTGACAATCCCTTAAAGGTGCGACTTTACCTCAAGCATTTCCCAAGTGATAACAGATCGGTCCCACAAGCTCCGCCCCCATCACTGGATTAGAGGGATTCCCTTTTACCATTCGCTGTTTGTACGCTGTCACCATAGGCATGGAGAGCCTCGAAAGACAGCTTTACACAAAAATACAGCCGGTTCAGTAAACCGCAACCTCTACACCTGCCATATTAAATTGTGTAAAGGTGCCGGCTCGAGGTTAGCTCTCCATGCCTGTGTGACGGTAGCGTGCAAGAGCGACTGCTACTTTGCTTCACGTCCACTGAAATACTTCAGCAAATAGCCGTGTGGTAAGGGAGGTCAAAGGGCCAGAATTGTTTACAGTCGCATCCGTACCGTACATGGTGGAACGACGCAGATACAAAGAATTCATTTACTGCGCAGGCCTTTCTACATGTTCTAGGCGAGGTGGGATTTCCCCCCATCAACACTCTGTTCTTTCCAGTTGTTGTGGCTGGGCCAAAGGGGCTCCGCGGTCTTTAATGTTAACGTATTCGTAGATTGGTGATTGCATAGAATTGGATTCGACAAAAACTTGAATAAAGGCTTAGCTAGGTTTGATGTACAAAATATTTGGAAGAAAAACTGCAGAAAAAAAGAGGTGGTGTGTGCTTTCTATTTCAGTTTAACTTACATGTGTAATTCGGGTACGTTGTTTTTTTTTAAATAGATTTTACCCTTAACATCAGTCACATTCAGTATATAAAGATGATGACAAAATCATACATTTTTTATAAACACACAATCATATTTACCTTGGTTTTGTAAATGCCTGATTTTATCTTCGATTCATGATTTATTCCTGATGTATCTTTTTAGTTTATTGGTTTTGTTTGTTTACCGAGGGTACGCCCAAGCAGCCGAAGCTAGTTTAAATTTCATCCGGGCTCTGCAACAACACGTTGAATTGAAAAAACTGTGTGTACATTAGGATAATAGCAGCCATCGCGGGAAGAAGGAGAAACAAATCACCTGAATTATAAATAAAAGATGATTACAATAATACAGAAGACACAAACCTTAAATGAAAGTTAAAAATCAACAGAAATTAAAAATGTAGATATAAAAAAAGGCTCGGGGTCAATTTATCCATCAGTGAAAAAATCAGTTGGCCTATTAGCTGAAATAAGAAAGGCATGACTAAGGGCGATCAACTTCTAGAAATAATAAATCTAAAAATGAGGCGGGGGAAATTAAGTTCAGTGTTTAAACATAGGAAACAATAAAAGATACCTGAAGCAAAGGATTAGGTGCAACAATTTCAAAGGTAGTAAAAGATAAATATAAA